TAGCTTGCAGTCTGATTTTCGCCGGACTTTCATATGGAGAGCTCCAGGTACCCGTTACCACCAAGAAAACATCATTGAACGACACCGTTACGATGGTGCAGCGGTGCTCGTTTGGGGTGGAATTATTCTGGGTTCCAGAACTGACCTGCATGTTCAAATTGGAACCATGACAAGCCAAATCTATCGGGACGTCATTATGGAATAACATGTACGTTTGTTTCGGGGCGCCATGGGCGCACAATTTGTGTTTATGGATGACAACGCCCGTCCTCACCGTGCAAACATCGTAAGCGAATGCCTTCAATCGGATGATATCACCCGTTTGGACTGTCCAGCATTCTCACCGGACTTGAATCCTGTAGAGCACGTATGGGACATGCTTGGCCGACAAGTTGCAGCTCGTCAACCTCCTCCTACATGTCTACCGGAACTTCGGAGAGCATTGCTTTTTGAGTGATGTAATATCCACCAAGATCAGATCGATAATTTGATACTCAGCATGCCGCCTAGGCGTTGTACGGACTGTATTGCATCGTCTGGGAGACATACAATGTATTAACAATCATACCAACCATGTAATATTGTTTTTTTTTATAATTTGCTCCAGGCAGAAAAGTCGCTAATGTTTTTAATAATATCAAACATATAGCATCTTTTTTTTGCTCTTTATCTTTTGTTTAATAAATAAGCTTTACAAATAAGTCAAATTTGTTTTGTTTCTAACTCTTCTTTTGCCTGATTTTGCATTATCCTTAATTTATGGACATGAGTGTATATAAGAAGGAAAAATGTACGTTTCTACTGAAATAACTTTGAATTCAAAATGTTGAATTATATGGTTATCTGATGAAATAGTTTATAGGAAGTGTACTTTATTTAATATAATTTGTATTAGTGACATCTACTACAATGAAAAAATTAAAGGAGTATGCCTCCATTACCATGTATCGCCGAGAGCATCTAGTTCTATAAATCAGGCCCCAATCTATTCTGTATAAATACATAAGATGAATCTAAGTGCATATAATTAAAAAGACATTTTGAATACATCAGATTCGGCCAGTAGCTGATGTGCAGATTTATTATTGTATAAAACCAGGAAGAGAAATTCTTGCCATTGTCTGCAGCCAGTGACGTTATTTTAGTTATAAATCAAGCTCCCTATCTGAGCTCATATCTGATATGCGAGCATGCATAATACTAATGTATGCAGCTTTGCTTGTATTAGTTATGCTTAGGAGGAATATAAACATGTTATTCTGAGAGAAAATACGACTGTAAGAGGCAACATGTCCTTCAGAATAATCCCTACGTTTAAGATCCAAGACGCTAAATTTCTCTGACCACCACTTTTTTAAATATTTCCAAAAAAAATAGTAGTAATTATTTACTTCTAGTAGAGAATTCTGTAACAAAAATGCATGATTAGAATCGTCTTTTTTTGATTATGCTAATGATATAAATGTTAGATATATATAAATTAGGATTTCAGGTACTCAAAGTTCATGAGAATTAAATACAGAACATTAAAAAAATAATGTTTACGCTTATTGAACGTGAAGAACAGAGACATTATCGAAGATGACTTGACTGTACATTTTGCGTTTGAATCTGTCATGTCTACGTTGACTCCGTGTGAGCGCACTGTAGGCATTATGCTGCTTTCAGTTCCATCACAGCTCGCCAGTAGCTATCCAATTTTGAATACACGTAAATCTATACTCAGTCATATACACCTGAAAACCCGAAATGTGAATTTCCCGAATTTATTTCATATTTTGTAAATTTAATGAATTTTTCATCAATAAACTCATCGATTGAAACCGAACTGTGGCAGCACTGTTCGAAATAAAGCATTTTTATCTCCATCTCGCCAGACTGTTGCCATTTGGAATAATGGAAAATATTTCTCAGCCCAAAAGGGACGTTAATTTCCCATTTTTCAGCCCAAATGGGATATTAGTTTCGAAATAACATTTAGCGTCGAATCACTTAAAAGCATTATATCAATTTTCAAACTGTTGCCACCAAATATTATCGTCCTGTATCACATTTAAAGAAATTAAATAATGAAGAATCTGAATGATTGTATGCATGTTTCTATTTCATATTTTGTAAAACTTTAATGAATTTTTGATTAACAAACTTAACAGTTTCAAAGCGAGCAGTGGCAACACGCTACATTAAAAAAAAATTATCTTCAATGCGTGAGAATGTCTGTCGGAAATTCTTAAGATATGCTGCTTTTAAATATTTTGCGATTTTGCTGTTGAATCGAATTTTATTAGCGTAATCGCCAAGAACCTTTTAATAAATAAAGTAAACATGCAAAACGTTAATTATTATTAACGTTTTGCATGTTTACTTTATTGTTTACTAAAAGACCAAAAAATGTTTTGCAAAGCTATCTTAAGACAGAACTTTGATATGATTAACTGAGAAAAGACTGAAAAAATAGAAAAACATATTCCAAAGCTTAACGCTGCATCGGAAATTCTAAACCCATACATAGTACTATGCTGCTTTTAAAATTTTTGTAATTTTGATGTTGAATTGTATACGGCGTAAGTGTGAAGGAAATGATGCTTAATAATAAAGCTAAAAGGACCAAAAAAAATGGATTAGTAGCAGTGAGTATAACAGCAGACTGGTTGACTGTGAACTCTGAGAGAACGTAAAAATCCTTAACAAACCTGTTTGGGCGACCATTAAAATCTGAAACTGTTCAGAGTATTATCATTTTTAATTAACAAAATGAAAATTTTTATTAACAAGACAAAAAGCATCTTAATAATTTCTAAATTTTGTTTACTAAATGTACATCAAAACATGCATATACAACAATAATAATATCCCACTAAAAATGGATTCAAATTTATATTTATTTTCTGTTTGAAATTTATTTTTAATGCAATGGTAGGAACATGCCTATTCAACATCGGCCACTCCTAAGGTCAGAAATGGTGGCCATTTTATTATGGAAGCGTAACCGTTCCTACCTATAAAGAGACAGACAGTTAAAATACTGACTTCTCCGGGATTCGAACGCGGTCTCTTCGGTACCCAGCAGTAGGCTTTTCTAGCTACTATATCGTCTGGACGACTCCATTTGAATCTGAAAACAACTAACTAAATACTAAATTATTAGACTCTTTCAAATAATTCTACCGTCTTTAACGCATCATTAAGTAAGTTGCATTAATTTAAAGTAAAAATAAACAAATTATGAATACTTTTCTAAGTTTTCATAATTTGTTTATTTTTTTAGTAACCAACCATAATAACTAAGCAAGACAACAATAAATAATGGCAACATAGTTTCTTTCTCTTATTTATTAAATTTTTCTTCGACGCATATGTAAAAATGTATATGTTTGTATGGGAATAATAATAAACTGCTTTATTTTAGTATAGCTTGACAGCTTGTTTCGATTCTGATAAAGTTTGCACCGTTCTAGAAAAATGACTAGGAATTTTCTTCATCACAGACTGTAGAGGCTGATCGGTCAGTTGGGTACTTTTCTGATTAATTTTCAGCTGCAGAAAGAAGCAGTTCTTTCATAAATATATTCTCAAACAAAGTGATTATTCTTAGTGCAAAAAATTTGCAACTGAGATTATTTATTTTTTGACAAATACAAAAAGAAGTTAATAAAATCTGTATCGCCAAATCTTTGATTTATATCAAATTGTAGATTAGTTAGTTCCACTTATCAATTTTTTTGCGCCTTATTTACGTTCATTTTAAATGGAATTCAAAACAGCATAAACTCGGACTTAAAGTAACTAAAATCTCGAAATCTTTGCAACATAATATTATGTGTTTATAGCAAATACATAATTAGAATGTCTTCGAAGTCTACATAAAATTGCTTCGGCAGCCACATGCAGCCCGTAGACCGCAAATTTGAGACCACCGGCCTATATAATATTTTTCGTAAAAGATTAAAATACCAACAATGGTTTTTGTATAGGTTTTAGAATAACGGATTCGTTAAGCGGGAAGCCTATATCACCTGAAAATTTAAGACGTCTTTCATCTTAAGATATGCAGTATGTTTATATTTTTTAATTAATTTCTAATCAGTGTTCCCTTTGGGAAGAGAGTCCCCTCACTATTATTCAACCCCATAAATCTTTCTCTTCTATCGCCGCCTTTTTCTCGCCTCGTCTCATTTATGCAACCCGATAAATCTTTTCCTCGTTTTAGCAGTTAAAATATAATTACTTTTACTGTATATTTTAAAACTAACTACTTAAATACTCTGTGTATTTTAATAATATTACTTAATTTTACAAAAACGAAAAGTTTTAAAACTTAAGCATTTTTTTCCTCAAGACCAGCATGAGTTAATTCCTTTCCCACTTCATAAACAAATTTATAGAATACTAGTTTCGCTCTAGAATAAATGTTGTAAAGATATTGTTTCTTTAAAATGAAAAAGCATTCGCAGACAACAGTCATATAAAAAACAGGATATGAAATTAACATTCTTTCTCAACGGAAATCCCACCAATCCGCACGCAATTAACTAACTCATCAGTATACCCTTAAGTATCATGAAACAAATTCTAAATATAAGCAAACTCCCTACCCTTCTCCCAGTCTGCAACAAGCTTCGGAAGCTTCACACTTTGCTGCTTGGCGAGTTAAATCATTAGCAGTTTTACATGCCAATAAATAAAGATCACAACGCTGATGGAACAATAGAGAATCAAGAGTCAGTAGACACATACTACGGAATGAGAAACGAGACATTATTTTTGCACGTCTCGTCGTGCATACCTCGGATTCTGAAGCATGGAATTGAAAAACACGAGGAGAGATCGAAGGTTTTCCCCGGATCGTATATCAAAATGACTGTTACGTCGTACAGGTACAAGAAAAAGGAATTTTGACGGTACTCCATTCAAGATTGCTTAAACCAAGTAAAATAAAAAAAAAAAGGGAGACGCTCTTTAAAAAATATACGGAAAGGCTTCAGCCGTGGTTTACTATAAACCTTAAATATTCTGCAACAAGGTCATTAAAGAGATATAAAAGAGGTTGCATATGCTTTGCAGTTATGTCACTCCAAGCTGTGGTTTGTGTTCATCGCCTCTGACTGCTGCGGACTTCATAGAGAGTCAGATTTAACCTGACAATGAAGGCTTTGGTAAGTTGTCGTTTATGTGGTAAAATTAACTGTTTTGATGTATTCTTCGAGTTAACACAAATATCAGACGGAATCACCATCCTTTATCTGTAGGGCTTTCACTTCTGTAGGCCATTTACCTAAAATAAAATTAGTTGAAAACTCAATTTGTGATAAAAAAAAATTTCTTTAAATACAAAAATATAGCAATTTTTGAAGTAAATTTAAAATTATGTAATATTTATAAAAAAGAAGTAACTAACTTTCAAAAAAAAATATCTGAAAGCTTTCAGATTTTACATTTCACCAAAAGGGGCGTTTTTTTAATGTTTTGTGTTTTACCTTTATTTATTAAATATCATGTTCTTCCCACTTAAACTATAAAATTGAATTCAACAGTAATATTGAAAAATCATTTTAAAATGAGCATATCTTTAGAATTTCCAATACAGATTCTCTCTTCCTGGAAATATTTTTTTTTCCGTACAGCGTTGCCACTGTCCGCTTTGAAATCGTTAAATGAAAAATTTGTTAAAGTGTTATAAAATATTAAATAGATAATAAAACAAACCCACATTCCAAATCAGGGCTTCCAGATGCCCATATTCGGTGGAGAATTACGTTATTCAAAATTTGATGACTCTAGGTACCGTTGTTTTATCACAATGCGAGAAACATACATACATTTATGCAGAATCTTCATTTTTTAAGTTCTTTAAATATAATACAGGCTCTACTATTTAGTGGCAACATTTTAAAAACTGATTCGCCTTTTATAGTGAATTAAAGCAAAATCCCAAGATGAAATTAATAGTCCTCCTGAGCAAATTGCACCTTTGGACTAATAATAAAACATGTTATTGATATTTTAATTCGATTTATTTTTTGACAAACTTTTAGCTATTTACTTCTGAATAAATATTTTTATGCTCATTGAAGAATTATTTTTGGCATACATTTTTTTACTCTAAAAACATAATTAACTTCAGTTTTTTTTTTTTTTTTTTTTTCATATAAAGCAAAACTGATTTAAGAATTCACTGAATTTAATGGGTAAGTTTGTCGATTAAATGTAGACTTTTTTTCCTTTATCATATGAAAGTTTTATCTTCAATAACCATCTCGCATAATTATAGATCCCTTGGTGAAACTTTACTGAAATTTTTATAAATCTGGAGATAATTTTTCATGAATTTCTACTAATTGAGTACTTCATCTATTAAAAAAATTACTATTATAATGCACTTTAACTATGCAGTTTTAGGAGAGTGTAATAGTGTAACGATACGTAGTTTTAGAAATACCAGCCGTTTGTGCAACACACAGCCTAAAATAACTGTTATAAAAATGAAAAAGTATATAATAATATCGAAAGTTCAGTAGTGTAATTTTATTCAAATATTTAATATTTTTAATAATTTATCTTAAATATTCCTTTTTTATTAATCAGAAGTTCCAATCCAGCGATTTTACGCTTAAGATGCAGTAGAAATTATGTAATAAACTATAATAAATACTGCAGCTTATTGCAATTTCTTTAATATGATAAACGTTTTTAATTATGCTCCGAAAAAAACCTGGCGTAAAGAAACATATTTCAAAGAACGTATTTTATTGACGTAAAGAAACGTACTTTATTAGTGCACAGAAGCATCTTATGGTTTAACAATTAAATACAGAATATTAAATGCATGGATGGGCTTATTTCTTACCCTCAGCTTCTCAACTATATTTATATTATTTTTGGTATGGTATGCTGTTTTTCAGTTCATATTGTCAAGACTGGGACTAGCTCAAATATCACTTTCTCTATTTTACTTTGCTTTTGCTTTTATTGAAGAATTTGATGTCAGGGAACATAGCTTTTGTTCTCTAGTCATCATAATTTATATTTTAGTAAAATTTATTTTTCTTATATCTATTAAAGGTATAAGACCCCTCGCGAATGTTTCTCATACTACCACGAAAATGAAACCTGGCGAATGTTTTTCAAAGTACCACGAAAAAAACCAGAAAAGAGCCTTCAGCGATTTATTCATAAAACAGGTGATAAGACCGGCCGAACTATACGTTACGAATACTGAAGAATTTTCCATACGAATTATTAGCACTAGTCCAGCTAGGCAAGACAATGAAATGCATTTAAATTAAAATAAACCAGATTAAAATGTGTAAACAATATACCAATAAGAATTGCGTTTATTGCTTTTAAATACCATTCAGTTTCTTAATCAATAACAAACAGATTAAATTTAAAATATTGCATTAAATATTTTACTCTTTGTGGAACGGCTACACATTAGCTCATGGAAGTTAAAAATATTTTATTTCGAGCAGTGGCAACACGTTTTACTTTTAAATGAATGATTTTGTTAATCAAAACTTCGTTAGATTCGCAAAAGATAGGAAATATATATTTTTTAATATAAATTCGGAATTTAGAATACGGACTTTGAGGTATAGACGTTCGGGCAGTCGACTATGTATTATACATTCAAAATTTGGGGTTCTAGGCGCCGCCCTTTATCCACAATGTAAGGAACAAATTTACCTACATACTTTTCATTATCTTGTAGAGACATTAGGTAGTTTTTGGAAGCAGGCAAGATGAAAAATTGGCAAACATCTTCGGCGGGAATCGAACCACGGACCTCTGGAATACCGGCCCAGCGTGTAGAACCATTACACCACGAACGCACGCTAGGAAGGCGGGAGACATACCTTATATACTCCCCCTTTTAAAGGGCAACTGGGGTTTTTAGGGAACCCAGTCGCCAAATCCTGGGTGTGAAGATTCATCATCCACGACGCTTTTAGTTCGGGCGCCACTGTAGAGACATTAGGTTAATTGGAAAAGCCAGAGAGATGAAAATTAGCAACCGCCTTCGCCGGGAATCGAACCACGGACCTCTGGAATACCGATCCAGTTAGCAGAACCACTACACCACGAAGGCACGCCAGGAAGGCGGGAGAAATACCTTATAAATTAAAGCTTTCCAACTATTTTTTAAAAAAAGCGATTTTTGAAATAAAATTTTCGTAGAGATCGAAAGGACTCGGGAATCTTGAAAATTTCTAAGCCAACATAATTTTTTAATTAAGAAGCATAATTTGAATTGTTGAAAATTATTCGATGTTCATACGTTCGTTAAACGAAGCGTTAATTTTTTATAAATTTGCGGCAATAGTGTCTTAAGTTCCACTACAGAACCTTCTTCTTCCGCTGTAGAAGTGAAATTGACGAAATACAAGCCCGTGTTCACAGGACACCAATGAAAGCAATAGACCAGAAAATTCGAAAAAGGTCCATCAAAAAACGAAAACACAAATGCTGGTGCCGTCTTCGAAATGTTACTTTTAGTTTAATTTTTGAAAATTCCTTCTGTTTTATAAAAACACGTATCGATATATTTTCGGAAGAAATTGGATGCAATATTCTCTAATTTGATTAAATAATTAGTCTAAAATTATGAGCATCAATAACATAAAAAGAATCTGATGAAAGTATATTTTTTGTTTCCAGCAATAGTTAGCGCCTTTTTGTTGCTTAATGTATGTTAAGATTCAAGTTATAATAGGTAAAAGTATTTATTCTTAAAAGCTAACTTAAGTGTTGGTTGCCTGTTGTAGCCTATGAACACCCAGGTCAACCATTAACATAAGAATCTGTACAGAACCAATGTCAAACTGGAATAGCCCTTGTATGGCCATGTAAACTTTTTCATGAAGGCTCAGTAACTCCCGGTGCGCCCTTGTGGGACCCCAGGGAGTTCTTGTATCTATATAGGGGAGGGCGTGGGACATATGCCTGTTTACCTCCGTTAAACACCAGGCGTCCCCGTCCTCCGTCACCTGTCACCTGCCTGTTGTAGCGGTTTGGAAAACAAGATAAAATTCTGAAATAAAATTGACCAATCAGTTGCCAAGTTGTTCAGAACCCTGATTTCTGGTAATTAAACTTGAAAAAACGGATTGCCTACATGTATTATTTTCGGGAATTTTTCCCATGTGTAGCATGAATATGAGATACAGTTAGTTCCCTTAGAAAATCCACTACAAAGACACCCCTCTCTTTAGGCAGATAGCCTTCGTGCACTTACATAAATTCAGATAACTTAATCATATTCAAACATACGCTGCTCTGTTCAGTATGATGGTTAGCTAAGATGGCTGCACTATCTTTGACCCGGTTCGATTCTCAGAGAAGACATGGTTGATTTTAACTGACTATTTCCCCTTTTCGCCGGTATCATATTCGACTGCCTGCTGCAGTGCAATTTACATGTTGTTCTTACTGATGAGATAGTTTAACAACTGATGGTGAATTCCCGCCTGGATGCTCAAAGAGCGAGTGTCCAGTCATTAGGAAAAAACACATTCAAATATCCAATAAAAGTGTATCCTGGCAAAGGAGTCCTTACCTAAATGTAATTTTAAACATAAGGCATATATCCGTCGTATGTTATGTTATTTGCCAGACATTTCCAACATCCATACCAAAACTTCTTTAGTTCAATTTATAAGAAGTATTTATTTACAAAGTCATCATGTGATACATATTAATCCATGTCCTCTTCTGTCATACGCATGCAAATTAATTTGCTCCACTAATAAACGCTTCCTAAAAAATCCGATAACACCTTCACAGATGCCACGTACGACTGCTGTGATTAAATTTTCACTGCAGTGTAAGTAAAACAGGATGCCTCAAATAGCCAAGACCACTAACTGTTCAGCGAGAATCGTTGTGCGAAAAATCCAACTGATAATGCTATTTTCAATCTCTGTAATTTCACCAATGATGTAAAACATGTAGACTTTCGGCAGTTCGCTAGTACCTTTAGATGACACAACGATTTTATACTTTATTTACCGGTTTTTTTTTTTTTTTTTTTTTTACACTGAACTTTAAATTATCTACGATAAACAATGTAAAGAAAACGGAAAAACCAAATAATCCAAAAGTATCTTCACAATAGAAATATCTGACATGGACACCACATGACTTCCTTGTACAGCTT